AAAAATAGCCTGGCACTGTGGCAGGCGCCTGTGGTCCCAGCTACTTGGGAGGCTGAGGCAGGAGACTTGCTTGAGCCCAGGAGTTGGAGGTGCTGTGAGCTGTGATGCCACATTGCTCTACCCAGTGGGACAGCTTGAGGCTCTGTCTCAAAAAAAAAAAAAAATCAATATCTGCAGAGACTGGGCTGACCAGAACTCCAGGCAAGGCATGGCGCTAGGTCAGCAGGCACTGAGAGGAAGGAAGCAGATAGTCTGGCCAGCTTCCTCCTTTATGTCTGGTTCTCGGTGGCTGCCTGTTCGATAAAGGTCTAAAGTGAAACACTATGCATGATGGAACCCTGGATATGGCTTGGAAAGGCCACAGATTTAAGTGTTCTGCACTTGTGGCAATTAAGTCCCTTTTAATGTAAGAATAAGTCATAACTCATTTCATTTGTGTTGAGGACCAGCCCCAATAACTGGCGGAGACCAGAGGGTGAGAGAAATTGAAAAGTCAAGACACAAAGAGAAACTTTCTTAAAGAGCTGGGTCTGGGGGTCTGTCCACCTCCAAAACGTGAGGACCCGTGGAAGCCCCTTTCTCCGGGCTAGTTCTGTTTTTACATTAAACGCGTGGAGTGTAAACCCTTACCACATGGTTCTTGTTGGGCTCACATTTTCTTTCCTTCTTTCCTTCTTTCCTTCCTCCCTCCCTCCCTCACTTCCTTCCTTCCCCCTTGGTAGAGTGCCCTGGCATCACAGCACACAGCAATCTCAAACTCTTGGGCTCAAGTGATACTTTTGCCTCAGCCTCCCTTGTAGCTGGGACTACAGGCATTTGCCATAACACTAGGCTATTTTGGTTTGTTTAGCAGGCTTTGTGGGGGGTGGGGTGGGAGGGTCAAATCCACCAGCCCCGGTGCATGTGGCTGGCGCCTTAACCACTGAGCTATGGGCACCCAGCATGGGCTCTCATTTTCTAACCAAATTAATGCTTTTTTTTTTTTTTCCAGTTTTGGCTGGGCCGGGCTTGAACCCACCACCCCCAGTATATGGGGCCAGCACCCTATTCCTTGAACCACAGGCACCGCCCCAAACTAATTCTTTAACTACTTTAATTGCACTGATTTATTTCTTACTTTTATCAGTCTAAGTTATTTTTGATCCTAACACAAACAAAGCTGGGACAGGAACTCAGTTCAGGTGCAGAACTTCAAGGGCAACCCCAATTAGAACACAAATATGAATACAGATCCCAAGGTGCCTGGGAAGCCTTGTGAGCAGTCTGGCAAGGGCCGTACTGAGAAATGGGAGAGGCACTTTCCCTTCCTCACCCCAAGTGACGTTCCCTCTCCTCCTGAGATCAAAGTGCCCCTGCGGTGTCCAGCTCACTTTGCCTTCTCTCAAAAATCTTCCCAGTCATTCCCTCTGAGAGAGCAATCCCACCTGCTTGAGCCTGGTCACTCAGTGTTCAGATAACTTGGAGCCCAGCCCAGCTGGGAGAGCAGTGAAGCTCCGGCAAAACAGTCTGCTTGAAAACGCCAGGCTTTCAGGTTGTCAGACTTCACAACAGACTTTGGATTTCTCAGTATTGATCCTTGTCTGAATATGTACATGCTTTTTGCTGATCCACTTCTCTTGTCTCTGTTCCCTTTGCCCATCACCTGCAGTCATTTTTTTAATTGCTAACTTATAGTAATCAAGAATTTCAAACTAGGCCTGGCACAGCGGCTCACACCTGTAATCCTAACACTCTGGGAGGCCAAGGCAGGTGGATTGCCTGAGCTCACCAGTTCCAGACCAGGTTAAGCAAGAGTGAGACCCTGTCTTTAAAAATAGCAGGTGTTGTGGCAGGTGCCTGTAGTCCCAGCTACTCGGGAGGCTGAGGTAAGAGGATCATTTGAGCCCAGGAGTTTGAGGTTGCTGTGAGTTACAATACCACGAGACAAAGTGGGACACTTTTTTTGGAGATAGGGTCTTACTATGTTGCCCTCGGTAGAGTGCTCTGGTCACAGCTGACAACCACCTCAAACTCTTGGGCTTAAGCCATTCTCTTGCCTCAGCCTGCCAAGTGGCTGGGACTACAGGTGCCCACTATGGGGCCTACCACAACGCCCAGCTATTTTTTTGTTGCAATTGTGAATTTTTTGTTGCGAATCTGGTTAAGCCAGATCAGCAAGAGCATTAGAGATGGTGTTTCTCAACATGAGGCTTGTGCTATATAACCAGTCACTGGAAAACTTAACTGAAAACTCCATCCTCAAGCCTGAAAAAAAAATTTTTTTTAAGTCCATGTTCTTTATTTGAGAGCGAGCCTCAAGCTGTGACCCTGGGTACATCACCCCGTGGCATCACAACTCACAGCAACCTCCAATTCCTGGGCTCAAGCGATTCTCCTGCCTCCACCTCCCAAGTAGCAGGGACTTACAGG